TGTAAGGGCACTCCTCTCTTGCTGCGTGTAGCCTCCCGGGGCATGGGTGGTGGCAATCTTGCCAGAAGGAAAGTGACCAACCGTGTGACAGCTACATTGTACTGAGAGTGGTATGGACGTGTGGATGGCAGAGCTTGCCAATGCCAGGGCCGTGCAAAACAGTCGGTTCAATGGGTGTGTAAGTCTCAGTAGCGTGAGAGAGAGGCCCTCTAGACCCTTCAGGGAAGTGTAATGGTTTTCAGTAATGTAAATTCACTGGATTAGTTACACTTCTTTGATGGGTGGAGAGGATCTGAGGCAATCAGTACCATGAGCCTGGCTCCATACCGTTCTCATGAAACGCTGTTATTATATTAATGTTACAGTTGACAATTGATTTCCAACCTGCTTCAAGACACCATTGTAATCTAAGGTCACACTTTATTGCTTACCCCATAGCTTAGCTGTTCGCCTTTTGTGAACAGTGTGGAACCAGGAGTCTTGTATATAGTGTGCGTTTGTTTACAGCAAGATTGTGAGACTGTTAACAATTCCTTGCAATGGAATTTACCCATGGTTTTCCCCATGTATATTCAGGGGAAGTTCTGTGTGAAATGGTTCTACATGCTTGGAATTGCCAATAATTTCACTAGTTATAATGTTTCTCACTCTAATCAGACTCAATATTTGCCAGTGTGAGGTGTGACCGAGGAAGCCCTGAGTGTGTAGACTAGGAAGGCCAAGCTATGAGTGTGTGACAATGCAACATATTAATATATTTTGAAAGTCTATATGAGCATTGGCCTCTTTATTTTAATACTTCGTGTGCATCTCTATTAAGAACCAAAAAGTGCATGAGTCTCATTGGCCTTGTGTAGACTCTGCCCCTTATTCCCTGCTCAACACATCTTGCTTAGCATTCTGTCATTGAGCACTGCACATATAAATTTGATGTTAGTATAATAATTTTATGGTCCACAGTTTACTGAATGAAATTTAAAAATTTTAAAGTTTAATTACACTGCAGTGTTTTTCTGTTTGTTTGAAACTGTGAAATAGAATTGTAGATTTTTTGTCAGTTTCAAACTGTGCAAAAATGTGTTCATGGCAATAAATTGTCTGCTTCACTTATATAGATTTATATACATATACTGGGGAAGGGGCAACTACTACCTTGACCTCACCTGACCTCCCCTCTCAGTGTTGCCGAGGTCACTGACCTGGGAATCACAGTACAAAGTCTGTGTGTTGAGCATGGTGGTAAGAAGTGCTGGTCAGTTGGAAGCAGGAAGGCAGTCATAATCGCATTAGACTCGAGCATCAAATCCAAATTCTTTGACTATGGTCATAGTTTCAAGTGGCATTTATTTTAGTTACATAAGATTGTCTGGCAGGTTTGAATCTCGATTCTACAAATGTTTGGCTGCTTGTTTAAACGTTTTTGTATTTTCTGCATAGCTATAAATATCATTGGCATTACATTAAGCTATTCCTCATCCTTCCTGCTCTCCTCTGGCACGCTATGAAAGAAGGTATGACAGAGCCACGTACGATTAACAAGCAGGCCTTGTGTTTACCACAGGATCTTTCTCAGTCATAAGTGAAAGAATAATATGTTTTGAGTTTTTGGCATGAGTGTATTTCAGTACAGTTGACAAGGAGTAGTTTCACAAACTACGAACAGAATACTGTTTATTTCTTTTCATTCATTTCACCCGAGATTTTATTCACATTATTCTTAGATTTTTCACCCATATACGAGGTGTACATGTACTCAATACGGGCTCTTTATGAAAAGTGTGTGCTGTGAGTTTTTAATTAAAAAAATATATATATAGGAAGGTACAAAAGTGCGTGTCCTGCTGTCAGGTGACCAGAGTGAGTTGTGTGACCCAAAAGCTGGACTGGTATAATTACTTTTTCAGTGGCAAAAGCCTTCCTTGGACAGGGCATGGAGTTGACCATATAAATAGTGATATTAGTATGAACAAAATTTGTACATCTCCATGTTTTCCCCCAGGAATGGCCAACTAGTGTCAAGTTCAATAAAGAAGTGTTGTAATCTTCAACTTGTAACAAAATATCTTTATGGGGGTGTCACTTTGCAATATAAAGGATGGGAAGGACCCAGTAGTTAGTGCCAGTACCTGGTGTGGACATGACATTGATGCAAGTTTGAAAGAGTGGCCTAACATCTGTATGTATTATTGTTAGAATGGTACTGAATATGGAAATTTGTACACGTGATGAAATACGCATATGACGTATGAATTATGATGTAGACCAAGAGTAGTTTCTGAGAGTTAATGTTGTCAAGTTTCAATGAATGTTGGAAGGTAGGAGTGTGATGCCCTAAATAGGATGAGATGTGAAAAGAATGATGAGGAATATCATGGTGGCCCATTTTTTTCCCCTGGGAAAAAAATTTAAATGGACCCTCTTGAAGCAAGTGCTCTCAGGCTACGTGTAATGCAAGAACTTGGTGCGCTTTCTACTGTTGTCCTTTCGGGAGTGATTGTGAATGTTTGTATTTCTAGAGTGCTCTGTCTAATAAACGATTCACAGCCAAATGGCCTTAGTTTTCTTAAACCTTACTTTTTTTTTATTACTATTTGAGAGTTTGGTAATGTAACTGCATTGTATTTTTGTATAGTAAAAAGATCCAAATTGTGGGTGTGGCTTGTATACCTACATGGTATAGTGTTATAACCATTTACGTCAGCACTACAACTGAGCCTTAATCCCATTTACATAATTTCTCAACTGGTGGTGTTTTATTGCCATTAATGCTTATGCAAATTATTACATTTGGCTGGTGAAAGATCTTGGTCCGCAGCAGTAGAATATTTAAAATCTGTAGCACCACAATTGTTGCAACATATGGAATTTTACCAGTCTTTTTCAGAATAGCATGTATAAACATTCACGCTGGATTTGTGAAGAAATGCCATTTTGAAAGAATATGTAAAAAAAATTGGTTTGTGTGTACACATATTGGAATTTACCTCCGGTGGTCTTGGAAGATAATGAAACCTTAAATTGTCCAATAAAAATTATAAAGGTTGCTGTTTAATGCCTAGAAGTTGCCATGATTTGAGGTTGCTGAATCTTTCATCCCTTCCCCCAAATATTTCAAAAAAAAAATACAAACAAAAAGAAATTGATTATGCAGTTGCAGAAAAAGATTAAAAATAAAATGCGTCCATTCAAAGTTGGTAGTTGTATAAATAATTAAGATAGTGGATGCTAGATCTGAATATCATGTTTGAGGTGCTTTTGTGGTTAATAATGGTGATATTTAGTGCCCTCTAATTGTCCCGCACATTTGATGGTGCTACATAACCTTCCCGGTTTGGTGCCTTTTGATAATTACTTGTGGTTAATAAGCATAGTGCTTTGAATAGTAGAGGTTGGTTGTAGTATACCTTACAAATTACTGAGACGGGTTTAGTAGGAAATAGCTGGACTATAGAAGTTGGAAGGAGCATTAACATTTTTATGAACAGTTGAAGCTTTTATATTGGCAAGTAGATAAATGGAAAGTGAAATTTGGTGTATGGGTCTAGTAGGCATATTGGTGCATGCAAAACATCAGCTATTTATCCTTGACCATACTTGTGTATTGTAATGTTTGCTTCAAGATAGCCTTTACTACGTTGCCTATTAATTTGTTCCATAAATGTTAATCTATTTCCAAAACAATACCCTGAACCTTGTCTTGTTTTCAACAGTGTGCCTCCTTGTGGTGGTCAGATTTTCAGGATCCAAAAGTCCTTTCCCAGTGCCGTAGTTAAAACCCATGGTGAATTAAATGCCCTTAATGTTTGATTACATGTTTGATGCCCACTAGTTTGATTATAGCTCGCCATTTGAGAGGCACTAATGTGAGCTATTCTGCATCACATTCGATAACATCGTCTTTACAGAGGGGTGATTAACTTCCTAGCAGTGTTTACCCCCTTGTGCAGTAATAAGTGAGGCAATGTAACGATTCACGTAGCAAGCTTCATTTTGATAACCGTACTGCCTAGAACAATGAATATAATTGATTGTCCCTTTGTTCTCTTATCAGATTCAGATCACTGCTGCTCAAATGTTGCTTGCGAAAGTGATTTCATGCATTCCAGTAATAACGGGCAGTTTACACCATAGTGTGCCATCTTGTATGCCTTTTGTCGATTTTTTTTTTTTTCGTCAGCTTGCTTACTTGTCAAAGGGTTGATTGAGTGCTCTCGTGCCTTTGAATCATTTAACCCTATACATACTGTGGTAGGAGAAATCCAATATTGGCCGTTTCTAATCTCTTAAATTAATAGATTTAAAGCAGGTTGAGCTTTGCAGACTAAGGACGCTATCCGCACTGTACTATTTCCAGAAAAGGTGTTTGAAATCTTTATTCAGATTTCTTCCCAGTTATTCATTCCTTGATCCGTGCTTACAGTGCGCCGCTCTGCACCTTATTGTCCGAACTGCACACTGGTATAATTATTGGAATTACTGGTATTATAATTTTAAATTCTAACTACAACATTCATTTGAACGGAATATGAGAAGGTACCGTAAGTTGACCAGACCACGCACTAGAAAGTGAAGGGACGACGACGTTTCGGTACCGTAAATTTAGTAATGTTCCAAGGTGTACATCATTCCAACGAGTCCTTGATGCTTACCGCTGGTTATCTCTGATAACGAACCACTTTTGTGCTCTGGACTGGTCAAGGCTGTACAATGACTTAAGGCTTATCGCAAGATATTGCATCCTCTCAATTTCCATTAAACTGAGAAGGTACACTCCTGCTAGGTACCAAGTTATAAATCGGTGTGGACCATGTTATATTTTAATGGCATTACCTTTTTTTTTCGAATAAACTACCACCCAATATTTTTTTTCCCAAATACTGTACTATGATGTACAGCATTGAAGAGATTCACACTTCATTTTGGTTTTTAATGTGTTGTCTCTTAAGGTTATGCATTGTAGATGGTATTTTTTATAATGATTCTTAAATATGGAGTGAGAGTGAACTGTAAAGTATGGTGAGAGATAATGAGGGGTCACAAACATCACGCCAGTGTTATCAGTGAGTGGTGCAGGCAGACAGCTACTCCCTACCCGTAGTCCACTGCTGGTACAGCCGCTAGCGTCGCTCTCCACCCACAGGTCAGTAGTTAACATTCTCATATCATGAGCATTTTCCTGGCAGTAGGCTCTACGTCCTTACGCCACCTTCCTTAAATTAGTTGCATTGGAGCACACTCAAATAAAATTGCTTTGCAAACACATTCTCTAATAATTGTAATAAATGAAGATGTTATACGTATTGTCATACGATGCTCCAAACAAGAAAACTACGTTTAGGTGTAGCGGATGTAAATTACTTAAGAACATAAGAACAAAGGTAACTGCAGAAGGCCTATTGGCCCATACGAGGCAGCTCCTATTTATAACTATCCACTCGTATAACATGTCGAACCCACGTTTGAAAGAATCGAGGGACCCCACCTCGTTATGCGGTAATTGGTTCTACAAATCCACAACCCTGTTGCCGAACCAGTATTTACCCAATTACACACACAAATCACAATTGCGTAATGCATCAAATGAACAAATCTTAATTCAACGTTGAATTAACGTTACTCCTGCATGTTGTGCCCAGGGGGTTGCGTCGGTGGAAGGCTTGCAGTCACCTGCATACACTACTTAAACCTAGCAAACGTCCCATATAAAAGCAATTGTCTAAAGTTCCGTATACGGCGATTTATCAGATCAGATTTTATGAAGTTAATACTGACGAAGTTATCTGCAAGTAAATCACACCTTGGTATTTCTCTACATAGTCGGCAGCTGTACCTTCTGCTTAATTCAACCAAGTGTTGGTTTTACCCTTTGAGGTCTATGCTGACAGTTTTACATTAGTCAGAAACAGAGCTTAAGAAAGGAAGATGCCTGAAGCGCTTAATTCAGCAGATACAGCTCTCTTGCACAAGGAAAGGAGTAAAGCATTGTCTAAGAATCATAGACCAGACGCACTAACGTCCCATATAAAAGTTCTTGAGTGATCAGTAGTCAGAGCTCCGGGTTTATGGAGACCAATGACCCCCATAACCAAGGTCAACATGTATTTATAGCGGAATGACCATACCCTTCGCAGCTACTCGACCACTATGACAAATATCACTGATGCATTAGAAGAAAATCAAGGCAGATGTGGTATATACGGACTTTACAAAAGCATTTGATAAATATGATCATGGAGTTATAGCACACAAACCGAGGTAAATACAAATAATAGGTTACGTAGGCCGATGGATACTTTTTTTTTTTTTTTTGTTAAACAGTTTCAAAGAGTAACAGTCAGTCAATTAAAATCGAAGTCCAAACACAATGAAAAGCTCAGGACAGTCTTTGCACCAATGTTTTGCCTTATTCTTATATCATATATAGAGAAAAATACAAGTCACAGCTTTGTGTCATCTTTTGCAGATGACAAAAATTAGCATGAGAATTCTTCCGTAGAAGACATTGAAATCCTACAAATAAATTGTATTAATAAAACTTTTGATTGGGCATCCATTGATGTTGAACAGTGATAAATTCCCTGGTGTATTTTGGTATGGTAAAAATGAAGGACCCAAGTCAATCAAATCTGCCCGTAGTAGGAAACCAACATGTAAAGGATCTAGGAATAATGATGTCTGACGTTTAGGGAGCATAACCAAGCAAATATTGCGTCAGCCAGAAAAAGTGATAGGATGGATTACGAGAACCTTCAAATCCAGGGATCTCATCATAATGGTTGTACTATTCAAATCACTTGTGTTGTCCCGTCTAGAGGCTCGATACTACCTTTCCACCTTCAGACCAGGTGAGATTGCTGAAACAGAGGGAGTACAGAGAATATATGGCATAAATAGACATAATAAAGTCCCTAAATTATTGAGATCGCCTCCAAGCTCTAAAAATATACTTTCTAGACACGAGACGAGAAAGGTATAACATAATATACACGTGGAAAATACCTAAATCTACACGGTAAAATAACAACATACTGGAGTAAATGACACGGAAGGAAATGCAGAACAGAGCTGAAGAACAATTCAATTTCAATTTTTTATTTATATTATGCACCCCCGTACCCATCCCGTGGGCGGTGGTGTAAGGGTTATAGAGGCACATAATCAGTTCAGGAACTGAACCCCTTGGGGTGCCATAAACAATCGGTAAACACTGATCATCAGAGGTCCACGGTTATTCAGTATCCTACCAGCAAATATAAGAAATATTTCTGAAACCAAATTGATAAGTCTTCGAGATAAAGCTGTATAGTTTTCCGCAAGAATGGATTTTTTTAATGGTGCCGCCGGAGGTGGGTAGTTTATTTTAAATTAAACTCGTCCCTCGGGGCAAAATTTATTGGGCAGCGCCACTCATCTTGTGAGTGGACATACCGCCATAGCAGCATGTACAACACTCCCCAATAGGAAGAAAACCCGCTGGGTTGTTCATCCTGTCACTTGTTTATTGTGCACTCCATACTCATCCTGTGAGCGCAAGAAGTCCCAGACCAACCGGGCTAAGGTGGATAAGTGGGCCTGCGGGCCGCTCCAAGGAACAGCCTGTAGGTAGGCAGTTCAATGGGTTGATAACCCTAAGGATGAAAAAAACATTGTCTTACAGTGTGGCTTGTTGAGCTTTAAAGCTGTTGCCCCTTGTATTACATTTAACCTTTTAAAGAAGTTATCTGAAACAATCTCCTCCAAATAGTTTGGTATTTTAAGTCGTGATGAGATCTGCCCTGTCATGTCTATTGTTTTCAATGCTGTTAGTTGTAACTAGCGTCAAACATTGTTATTTGCTTAGCTAAACGAACTAGAGGGTTCAGTTCCTGAACCAATTATGTGCCTCTGGAATCCTTTACACCACCGCCCACGGGATGAGTATGGGGTGCATAATAAAGAAAGAAATTGAATTGAATTAGTCCCGTGGCCCTCAACCGTTCTTGATATTAGAGTCGACTTAGGATTGATGGAAGATTAAACCACCACAAGAGGTGGCGCGGACATGAGTAGCCCCGCAGGTGGTAAATGATTGGAGTGAATGTGGTCTTTAGTTGCTGTACATCTTGAAGTCGTGTAACATCTTGAAGGGCCTCAGAGTCGACTTAGCTCTGAGATGATTTTTGTAGCTGAACTTTCTCCAACGCAGCTATGTTCTTCTGAAGATGGTCTTCATGCTTGGATATAATAATACAGTAGGTCTATTTATTGTGGCCTTATAACAATTTAAGATACTGTATCAATTGTTTATATAACTAATATATATTTTGTATAAATAAATATTCTAGCTTTATTGTAATTGCATTAATATTATAGACAGGTAACTTGAAGATAAACTTAAATTTCCCTAAGTATTGTTAACAATAATATTATGTTTCCAGTAATAACATTTCAATTGCTTGACATATGAGTACAGTATGTGTCATTGAATATATTTAATAATTAGTCACGAGTTGCCGGTGAAAAACTGATTATATAATAGCTCCCTGTGATAAGGACCGACAGGTTGTAAACAGTCATGGCCCGACCAGCTGACGGCGACTGTGTTCCGGACCTCAGGAAGGAACGTTCAAATTGTTCCTTCAATAAGGAAGAACTTACAAATCTTCTCGATAATGGGAAGGAGAAGACTTTAACTCGCCGGAAAATAGGTAAGTGTTGTATGGTCGGCAACGGAAAGTAATAAGTAGAGACGTTTTTATTTTTTTTTCATTTTTATTAAAAAACTTAGGGTAGCAGCACATTGCTGTGTATACCTATTCTATATGAAGGATTACACAGTGTAGATAAAAAACTAGCTACAGGTTCATCTAATATTCCCATCTCACAGGATGGTTAGTCATACATGGAATCAGGGGAGAAAATACCAGCCTTAATACAATGTAACAAGAGAACAGTACATAGTAGAACAACATGAACATCATAACAGCATGAACAAGCCACAGGCGCGGCGCCAGACAGGCGGCACTAGACAATGGAAAAGTTACACCTCTAGAAGTTCTAGAAGAGGATAGAATTAAAGATAAATGCAGTGCAGTATGTTAAAAATATGATTTTTTTACTTCAGAGAAACAGCCATATCATAGTGTAGTTCTTTACTGTAATCCAGTGTAAGTGGGATAATTAATTTTGTTGGGGACAGGAAGCATGGTGTACTGTACTGTATATACATATACTTTAGGCTTGTATTGAAATCCTAAGGTCGAACTACTTACCCTCCCCAGGATGCAACACCACAACAGTTGTCTAATTTCATTGTACCTATTTACTGCTAGGTGAACAGAGGCATTAGGTGAAAGGAAACTTGCCAACTATTTCTGTCCTGCCCAAGATTCGAACCGTGATCTCGATTGTGAGTCGAAAACAAAGCTAACTGTACACTTTGAGACGTCAGTAATGTGGGTGTATACTCCTACCTTGCTCACCTTTCTCAGTCTTTCCTATTTAGCAGGTTTTCAAAGTACAGTATGTAGAGAAATGGTTGGGCACATCTTTCACCTAATGCTCTTGCCCACCTAGCAGTAAATAAGTACCCATAAGTTAGTCAGCTTGTTGTGGGGTTGCATCCTGGGAAGAGTCGGTAATTTGACCCATTGGGGGGGGGGGACCTAGATACAAGCTTAACATACTGTACTGTATGTATAAACTGGGTACTTATCTCCCCGTCACAATGAATCTAGTCAAAATTTGTAATTCTAGTTTCAAGGTTATATAAAGTTAAAAAAAATTTAATACAGTATGCTGTATTACATTTCAAACTTTGTACAGTATTAGTAAATGCCTTCTATCTAGTAAATTGGTAGAGATCACCACAAATTCGGCTTCCATAACCAGCATGTTAATTACCTTTCAGAGAACCTCTTCCTTTCGGATCCAGAATTTCTTGATCCAATTCGTCCAGAATACTTGAGCCATGAAGACCGGTATGCAAATGAATTGCGTAAAGCATGTCACATGATTCGAAGTATTAATGAAAATGAGGAGGTCCAGCAAGTTGTTGGACAAATGGAAGGAATCAGGTAAGAGAAATTAATAGTTTTAAAAATTTGTTATTCTTGAAGTATTCACCACTGATGGCTATGCCTCTCAGCCATGTCTTTTTTCTTTAAAAATATATTAATTTAACAAAATATTTTAGAACCTTCTTAACCACCTGTCTCCTTTCCCTCAAGACTGAAAATTTCAAAGAATGACTTCATGTACTGTGTATGCGAACAAGCCTGAATGGTCCCCAGGACAATATGCAACTGAAAACTCACACCCCAGAAGTGACTCGAACCCATACTCCCAGAAGCAACGCAACTGGTATGTACAAGACGCCTTAATCCACTTGACCATCACGACCGGACATAATGAGGTGATAGCCGAGGCTATTTGAACCACCCCACCGCCGGCACTCGGATAGTAATCTTGGGCATATCTATAATCTTGGGCATAGCTATCACCTCATTATGTCCGGTCGTGATGGTCAAGTGGATTAAGGCGTCTTGTACATACCAGTTGCGTTGCTTCTGGGAGTATGGGTTCGAGTCACTTCTGGGGTGTGAGTTTTCAGTTGCATATTGTCCTGGGGACCATTCAGGCTTGTTCGCATTTGTGTTCCTCACGTGTGCCCCAAAGAATGAGGTGATTTGGTAAAATGCTATGCCCAAGATTACTATCCGAGTGCCGGCGGTGGGGTGGTTCAAATAGCCTCGGCTATCACCTCATTATGTCCGGTCGTGATGGTCAAGTGGATTAAGGCGTCTTGTACATACCAGTTGCGTTGCTTCTGGGAGTATGGGTTCGAGTCACTTCTGGGGTGTGAGTTTTCAGTTGTACTGTGTATATGTAATATTTTATAGCTCAAATGTTCTCTTATTGAATAAGGCAGCACTACCTTTGCAAATTAGAGGACAGTACTGTGTAGATGATGAGTCACAACAACGTGGCTGAAGAATGTTGACCAAACCACACACTAGAAGATGAAAAGATGACGACGTTTCAGTCTGTCCTGGACCATTATAAAGTCAACTTGATAATGGTCCAGGACGGGCTGAAATGTCGTTGTCTTTTCATCTTCTAGTGTGTACTGCAGTTTGGTCAACAGGACAGTACTGTATTTGAAAAGATACTAATTTAATTAACAAGAAATAGATAAGGGTAATTTCTTATTCATTGCTGATCTTAAAAACATTGCCTCATTACAATAGTTGCCTCAACAGTTTGACTATTAAGTGCCTCAATAGTTTGCCTCATTACCTTTGGATACCTAATTTCCATAAAGTACTTCCTTGTTTGTGTTGTGCACCTATGCTCTCTGATGGGTGTTTTGATTTTTGGATAATCTCTTAACCCCCAAACTCTCCTCAGCAGAGAGTCGTATTCTTGTAGGTCTCAAGAGGCCTGTTGCATCTTTTTTTTTTTTATACTCTATTGTGATGTGATATTGATTAAAATTACCCTAGTATGAGAGTTAAGTCTTCCTCCAATAGGGATTTGGAGGAAGAGTGATGGGAAGCCTTCGGTGTTAGGTCCTCAAATGTTAGTAACACATTTAATCTATCGGCACATAATACAGTAAATCCAGTGGCATATGTGAAGGGTGGGGGGAGGGAGGGGGCAGATGTTTAAAAGTATCTTTAGTTTCACATGGGGTAAGCTAGAGAGATCTAGGCAAAAGGCAAGCAGCAGCAGTTCTGTTTCCCACCACCACCTGTATCCTGTGATCATTACAACACCCTATAATCACTGCAACCTATGTAGCCATTACAGGACCCTGTAATTATTGCACCTCTATACGTTTTTTAATTCTGAGATGTGCCAGCCTGGTGATGTGTTTTGAATGACTGAACAAAATATATTTAGTTGTTTTAAAATGTTTAATGTTTCAGGTTTTGTTATGTAGTTTTGAATAGATGAAGCTGCTGACATCAATGATTAAATATTTAAGAGAAGATTCTAAATGTTATCACTAATTTGGTGGTGGAAATGTGATGTATAGAATACTCTCTTACCAGTGTTCATTGACATTAAAATGTATTATCGTTGAGTTAATATCTGTAAATGAAATAAGAATTTACCTTATTGTATTTTGCAGAACTCTGATGGGGTCAGGACTAGGTGTGGCACTTACTAAAGATGGAAACCCCCTTGCTTTGCACTTTGTCATGTTTCTCCCAGCAATCTTGGGTCAGGGTACTGTTGACCAACAAGGAGAGTGGATGACACGTGCATGGGCTGGACAAATCATTGGTACTTATGCCCAAGTGAGTGCTACACCCCTTTGTTTCCTTCCATCCTCGAATAATTTACATGATCTAATTTAATTTAAAAAAAGACTGTATAACCAGAGCATTTTTTGTATTTCAAATTTTATAAATTAACAAGGTTTTATAAAATAATGCTACATATCTTAGTTTTGTAGTTACAATTCAAGATAAGAATCTACGTAAATAGAAGGTTGACGTAACACATTAACCAGTTCTGGGCTATGCATGCTAGAAAAGTATGTATTGTACTGTATTGCCTTGTGATAATTTCTGCCAATACAGGGAAAAACCACACAGGTTCACTCCATTCCAAAGTTTACCCTCCTCTAGAGTATAGTATCTGTCTGGTCATAGTGAACAGGTGCTACTACACAGCTGATGGATCACAACATGGCAGCAACTTTGGAATTTTATTCATGTTGAAGCACAGATTTTATTTATTTATGTGTATAAGTGACAGGATTAAAGACAAACATTTTCTTAATAAAGTTTCTGTAGATGAGGAAGATGACTGGTCCTCCCATGTTGAATGTGGTGAACCCAGGTACTGTATGATGAAGTGGCTGACAGGTAAAGTTCACTCCAGTGAAGAGATCTGCCTTGAGAAAATGGATGATGAATTTTGTAAAAAGGTTATACTGTATATGCATTGGTGGGTTGTGAAAAATATGCCTGAGTATGCAAATGACACTGTTAAGGTCTTTGATGAAGCTGAAATATGAATATTACAGCCCATCCTCCTAAAATGAAAATACTTACAGTAACCATTTGGTCGAAAGTACTAATATATAGTGATGGATCACCAGAAAGTAACTCTTGTAGTACTGTACAGGTACTGAAGTACGACAAACCAGAATCTTTTTTTTAATGGCAACATAAATACAAGACCTAATCTAACCTAACCTCACCTAGCAATCCTAGACTTAATACACACTATTCCTAGGCCTAATATATTTGTGTTATTCAGTACTAGGCCTTAGGAATATTTAGATTTGTTTTTTTTCGCTGTAATTTATCCAAACTCTCTAAAATTAATAGTACATAAAGTGGTTTACTGGTGGTCCATCAATCTATATTGGTACTTTTGACCAAATAGTTACTATAAGTACAGAACTATCAATTCAGGAGGATGGGTTGGAATATTAATACTGTAATAAAATTAGTAATTTATTTAACATAAAATTGGCAGTACAGTACTATAGTAACAAAATATTATTTTAACATACCATTTTAAACATTGTTCTGTGGCATTTTTTGTCTTACAAGCAAAGGGATCAATAACTTTGCTGTAAAATTCTGGCTTGCTCTACAGATAGGCAAAAATTCTGTATATTTATTAACTCATTATATTCATAGGTTTTCCATGCATTTGTATCATTTAAAAATGGAAGATATGCCTAACTCATAAGCTTTTCATATATATACCTGCATTTCAGTTTGGGGAGGGGGGGAGGTAATACTGTAAATCCAAATACAGTAAATGAGTGCAGCATCAAATCACCTCTGAACGTTAATCAAGTTTCTTAAGTTGTGTTGACATGGGGCCAGATTCACGAAAGCACTCACACAAGCACTTATAAACCTGTACATCTTTTCTCAATCTTTGGCGGCTTTGTTTCCAATTATTAAACAGCTAATGAGCTCCGAAGCACCAGGAGGCTGTTTATAACAATAACAACAGTTAAATGGGAAGTTTTCATGCTTGTAAACTGTTTAATAAATGTAACTAAAGCCGTCAAAGATTGAGGGAAGATTACACGTTCGTAAGTGCTTGCGTAAGTGCTTTCATGAATCGGGCTCCTGGACAATAGGTACACACGTTGATACCGTCTCTTTCAAAACAAAATCTAGCAGATTTAAAAAAAAAGTTTATGCAGTACCATTATTAATTTATTATATTAATCTGAAATGTCACTGGCCAACATTCAAGTACAGTAAAATGATAATGAGACTAATAGTCTATGAAAACTATTAATTAGACTATTAGACTAATAGTCTAATAGTCTTTTCCCTAGGGAAAAGCCCCTAGGAAAAAGCATTTTTATTGAATACAGTACTATGATTTTTTTGGTATAATTAGTGTAATTCTCAAATTTCCTGTAATTTAAAAGGTGTTATAAGCATGTATTAAATACTTGATTTACTTCTTCCCCACTCCATAAAAGAGGCAAATGGGATAATGATTGAATATTATTTTTTTATAAATTATCATACTTGTACTGAATTATGGACACTTTTAGACAGAACTGGGTCATGGAACCTTCCTTAGAGGCCTCGAGACAACTGCTACATATGATCCAAAAACCCAAGAATTCATTTTGCACTCTCCCACCATCACAGCAACAAAATGGTGGCCTGGAGGATGTAAGTCTTTATCTGTATAACGTATATTTTTCTTTACTAACGAGGAATGTGCATTGCGGTTTTGTTTGTTAAAATAGTTATTATTCTTTAAGCTTAATCACTTGAGTTCTGGATAAGGTAAAGTGGTGATGGAAAAGAAGTTTTGGTGTTTTGTAAGCATGTATGGAATTGTGTGACACTAATGTGGACAAGTGAAACATGGGTGTGCTGTTGTACAATAATTAAAATGTTATTAAGCTGCAAGCATATTCAGAATGTAAACATCCAACTCATTAACTGTATTCCAAGTCCATATTTTAGTGTATGTTACCATCTCGACTCACTGTAGAAATGTGTTGAGGACGTAGTTGTGTTTGGAGTGAGTGAGATCTAGCTCTAGAGCCTCGCATCATACGTATTGTTACTGTACATTTATACCTCTCAACATTCCATTCACCTGGGCTCTAGGAGTCTCGAACCTTGGACCCCACATGTGTGAAGCTGAAGCTTTATCGACTGGGCTATGAGTAGTCTTAATAAGGAGAGTTTCCTTATTCTCTTCGAAGATATTCCAAAGGAGAACTTCGGCTTCACACGCGTCGGGTCCATGGTTCAAGTCTTCTAGAGCCTAGGTGAATGGAATTTTTATTACTGTACCATGGAAGTGTTGATGACAATTTATACCTCTCAACATTACAGTGCTGTATTATATTTGTTCATAAAGCTATGAATAGTGAGTGCTTTGGCCATCTTTGTCTTTGGTTCATTCCACTGAATTATCACTTTCTGCATATAAGTAATTCCTTAAACTTCTCTGGCCCATCTGTATCACTAGAATGCTAATGTATTAGAGGGTTGCTGATGGAAATTTATATCAAGTTTTTTTTACTAACAAACTGCTTTTCTTCAGTGGGTAAGACGGTCAACTATGCTGTGGTTATGGCTCAGCTCTACACTAAAGGACAGTGTCATGGTATCCATGCCTTTATTGTCCAGCTCCGAGATGAAGAAACTCATCAGAGTATGCCAGGTAGGTCGTATTATTGGATATTTTGTGAAATTAGCAATTGGTTTATGGAGTTCAATGTTTTCATGTGTATTATTAGTAATGAGCCTGAACAAAGATGTATACATGACCTAAGTGAGTAATGTATGAGGCGCAGTTATGACAGTAATTTAGGGAATGTTTTATGGCTCTTTTAATGTAAAATGAGTTTACAGTATTTATACTAATTTTATGAACAGCAGCAGAGGGTTTTTGTTATGATAACCTGGATTATTTTATGTCCTACTTTCAAAATTTTAGAACATTACCCTGTTGACCGAGAGTAATTCAGTGTTGCTTCACGGGTCTAACTTGTACAGCCTCTTTCATTTTAAATATACGTGGTAGACATTTGCCTCTTGTATTTTCTGTATAAGAAACAGTGGATTGTTTTAGGTGTCACTGTTGGAGAGATTGGTCCAAGGCTGGGAATGAACACGAATGATAATGGTTTCTTGAAATTTGACCATTGCCGCATTCCTCGTATGAACCTGCTCATGAAACATGCGCAGGTTTTAGAGGTGAGTCAAACCATATTTTAAATAGGATTGTTTTCTAATACAGTAGATTAAAACTCGAGTTAAGATTATTATGACCTTAAATTAATTATACACAGTACTGTACTATTAAATTTGATAATTAAGTTATTCTCGGAGCATAGTTAAGTTTTTAATCCTCCGTAGAATATACTCGCATGAATGTTTCAAAACAGGATGGAACATATGTGAAGCCAGCTAGTGACAAGCTTGCTTACGGCACAATGGTATTTGTGAGGGTTGCCATTTGCTTCGATTCATACCGACAGCTGCAGCGTGCAGTGACCATAGCAACACGTTACTCTGCTGTTCGTCATCAATCTGAGTTGGTCCCAGGGTAAGATGATACTTTCTATTATAGCTTTGAATCTGAGATATCCTGCATTTCTGCAATTTGATTCATGATTGAAGGGTAATTTAAATATAAATTTGATTGGATAAAATGGGTGCATATATGTTGGTTCAGACTAAATGGAGGATATAAAATATAGTACAGTATATATGTTTCTCATAGTATCAGAAATTCAAAGACATAGTTTTAAGAAAATAATAAAAATAGACATGTGCCAAATTTCTCTTAGCCAAAAGATCATTACTTGCCCCCGTCTTCTCGAGTTGCCATAACAGATAAAAAATGGTGCACTAAAGCACCCGAGCCTAACCTAACTGATAACCCCTGCATAGAAAATGTGAATGTTTTTGAGCCACTATGATTTATTCATCATAATTTGTCTGTCTGGAATTTGACATAAAAATTTGATGCATTATTCAAGAGAACAGGTTTACATCAAATGTACGTACATCAAAGTATTGAATCTTATACCTATACACACAGAGTATTATAAATTGGTGGAGCTAACCTCCGTTGTGGTGTGTGAGATAAACAATAAGTCCAAAATTTAACTACTGAGAGCTATGGCAGGAGAGCTTCCTTCCTCTCTTTTTACAATAATAATTTTTTTTTAGAAACCACAAGGATGAATAATACCGACATTCTTAAAGATGAAAGTGTATGAGAAATAATAAAAAGGGGTTCAATATAGTGTACATGTAGTGTATGGGGGAATTAACAAAAAGCCTGAGAGAGAGATGTGAAAGGAATTTAACAAGTTTGAGAAGTACGTTAGAATTACATTTACATATTTTAATTATCAAGGTATTTATGAAACTTAATTTAAGCAAACATGCAGCAATTTTTAGAATAGCTGTTCGTCAACATTATTGTTGAATGAGAATGTTTAGGAATACTGTATAAATAATTTTAGATTAATTGAAAATTTAACAAATTTAGCTTCACTTAAACCTTAACATTTCATACAATCTCCCTTCTAGGCAACCAGAACCTCAGATTCTTGATTATCAAACTCAACAGTATAAGCTGTTGCCACAGATTGCCACTATATTTGGTATACATTTTGCTACAAAAGATGTTTGGGACACTTACAATGAAGTTACGGGAGATATCCACGATGGCAACCTGGATCTTCTGCCTGAGGTAGGTATTGCATTTACTTTCCTTATAGATACCCTTGTTTCAGTCTAGTTTGTACAAATTCTGGAATTTGATTATATATCCTTAGTTTGAATCCAAATATTTTTATAGATTTGTGTGAAATGCTTTCACTGCACATCATTGGGTGTTTTCCAGTATTCTTTTTAGATAACATCCATATTTCATTGTTATTACTGTATAATGACCAGTGACCAGAGCTCTTGCTCTGCTAAATTGTCATGCTCTCATTTTTTATTTATCTTGCAGATACATGCTTTATCATGTGGCCTTAAAGCTCTGAGTTCTAGTGATGCTGCCTCAGGAATAGAAGTTTGCCGTCTTGCCTGTGGAGGACATGGTTACCTAGCATCTTCAAATCTGCCACGAATCTACACAACCACTACTGCTGCCATTACTTATGAGGGGGAAAATACAGTCATGTGGCTACAAGTGGCTCGGTTAGAACAAATTTAATATTGTATTTACAAAATCTTTCTCTATTAATTTTCAAATACTTTCATGTTTCATAAAGTAATAGTAATATAAAAAATCTAGCATGATTGAGACAGCATATGCCAAATTTTGTTTTGCTGACTTCTAAATGAAAGTTCACTCACAATTTTAGGATGGAATTTTGTTCCTTGTCAAACAAGACTGCCTTTAGTTGGTTTCAGCGCTCTAATATCCCTGCAGCCCAGTGTCTGACTAGATCTCCAGGTTGATGGTTTGTTCAACCAGGCTGTTGGACACTGTTGCACAGAGTCTGATGTATGAATTCTCAGATCAGAGGGTGAGACTTCCATTGGGAAAAAGTTTACATTTTGGAGGTTTCCTGTGTCTTCTATAGTTTCTATTCTCATGAAAACTTTTGTCATCTGCATGGGATGATATGGTACAGATATGATATTTGTTTGGATTGTCTGTGTCAGCTGCAAGAATGAGGAAGAGCTTTGAGACATTCCCAATATTTTAGGTGCTTTATCATGTCTTGTCTGCCATACTGTATATGTTCTTTGTGTTCCCACTTTTGGGGAAATCTGCTTTGAATGGGAAAGTGACTACTGAGCAGCAGTGGTAGCTCGTGGAAAGATAGAATGGAGAGAATGAATCACTTCAAGCTTCAAACAGGATAATTAATAATGATTAAAAGAATAATTAAGAGTAATTAAAGAAGGAAATAATTAAATGATAAACACACCTTATATGTACTGTAGACCTGTCGGGGTCATCATTGTCAGGTTTGTGGTGGTATAGATTGCTGAAATAGTGATGTTAATATTACTTGAAAAGAAAATCGGTGCGTTGGCTCCGCAACGTAGCAAAATGGTTTATTGCTTACATGCACAGAAAAATCACATTAACATGATATATCAAAGAACAAACCCACATGAGCCTTGATGAGGGTTCGAACCAATGCAACGAATGTTCCTAGACGAGTTCTAGTCAACTGTACCACGACATGGTAAAAGAATTGCAACCAAGAGTGCTACTGCACTCACGAGGGCTCCCCATGTGTGAGTACGTGGGGGAATTGTAATGCTAAAGAAGTAGCATTAATAAAGTACAGTACAGTATTTCTATTGAAGTACAGTATTAGTATTGCCTGCCATTTTTAATATGTTGTTTATTGAATTAAGAAATGGAGTCTGGTAGAATAGTTTTTTAATCATAATGTTTCCACAGAATATACTACGACCTTAAGACCACATTCAGTACTTCCAATGGTAATTGAATGTGGTCTTGTCAGTTATCTAGAATGTCGTAGGTATCATCAGTGTCAGATAACGGAGACTACCGTACTGTATTATTAAAACATTTTACCAATTCCTTTGAGCCACTTGTTGACAAGATCATTTAAAAAATCTTGTGCTCTTGCCCTTCAAGGTATCTTATTAAGTCATACCGTGAAGCTCGTCGAGGTCAACCTTTGCAGCATTCTGTGTCCTACCTCACCACCCAACCTACATCCACCCACAGCACCTCTGAATACACTAATGCAGGTACTTGCAATCCTTGTTTCTCTTTATATTTTTATATCTAGATTTGTCCTTTCATTTAGGATTGTGTCATCATGTTAAAACCCACTTCTGTTTAGGATTGTGAGTGCAATGCAATATGTGTTAAAAAGCACTTTATATTTATCCATTATAGCCAGGAACTGTATATAAATTTATGGATAAAATGTATTTTATGTAATACCCAAAAATGCTTCCTAAAAATTAAGTACAATACTGCATCTCTAAATCCCTTACAGCAGCAATTCTCAACCAGAGTATCGGAGAACCCCAAGGTACCTCTGGGTTCCATAAGTGATAGGGATAAATAGGCTAATTCTAATCATATGCAAATGTATTTGTGATTAATTTTTTTGTTTAATTATTCTCATTTACAGTAACAGTATCAAGGGCAAAGACAGAAATTGTCTCCTTTCAATTGATAAAGAAATCAGTGTGTGTATATATATATAAAATACAACCAGGAATTATTTCAAGGGTACAAAGGTTGAGAAATGCTGTCGTCTAGTCTTCAGTGAACTTTGTCTTTCAAAAACTTACTGTGTCTGTGCAATATCGGGAGAATGTCTTTGTGTATTGGCTAGAAAGCTTGAAGATTTTGTATGGTGGTGGAAGTTAGATCCCAATTGTTATTGGGTCACGTAGCCTCCTGGTAGTAGGTTTTAAACCCGTTTTAAAAATCGATAGCTAAATGGGGGGACGGGGAAGAGGGAGTTTGCTAAAGTGATACCTCAAAAGTGAATTAGCATTCCTGCTCCAAAAATCTATGCTTTGGAATACATTTTTGTATCATGGTAATTACCCAGCAGTCTGCATTTATTGTATTGTATTTTGTGAATTAAAAATGGCAGAAGTACAGTATACGTATTGTACAAGCATAGTACTGTATTTAGGTACAGTAGATATTTTTCTGAAGTGCAAGTACAGTAAATAAATTTCAATATCACAAGGTCTCTGGAATACTAACTTTTTTTTTTTTAATAATTATACTGTCTGTGCTACTCTGTGCACAAATTTTCAGGAACACATACTTCACACAGATTGAGTACTGCTTTTACAGTATTTGTGAATATAAGGCTGTGATCTAGAAATCTTTTATAAGTTCAAAGCTTTTATATATCTTTTTGACCAGTTTTTAAATACCTTTTTGGCAGATCTGGTGGAGGCTTATAAAAAAGCTGTGTCGTCCATGGTATCAGAGACTGCTGCCAGACTCCAGCAGTATTGTGATATGGGACGACCTTTTGAACATGCCTGGAATAGCTGCTCTGTTCTGTTGGTGAAATGTGCCCAGGTAAACACAAATTTGGGGTTTGTGTTGCTTTTAATATGATTCTCTCTCCATTCTGTTTTAGAGAGAGAGGGAGGGGTGGGGGAACTGATGGAGAGAGAGGGGGGAGGGACTGATGTAGAGGGAGGGAGAATGATGTAGAGAGGGGGGACTGATGTAGAGAGAGAGGGAGGACTGATGTAGAGAGAGAGGGGTGGACTGATGTAGAGATGTTGAGAGAAAGAGAGGGTGGGGGGGACTGTTGTAGAGACATTGAGAGAGAAGGGGGGAAATGATGTAGATATGTTGAGAGAGAAGGAAAGATAAAGGGCAGATGGGGAAAATAGGGGCTAGGGGAAGAGTGATTGGGGAAGGGGGGGAATAGAGATCCGAGCATTGCCAGACACACACACATAATATAATTTGTTTTATCATAAGTTGGTCTTCTCCAGATGTACTTTACTACTACAGCTGTATCCTCCTTTTGTATTTCATTGAAAGTAAAATACTGTATGTTAATGATAATTATTATGCTATGAGAAAGCTCCTGAAGAGAGGTACTGTGTGTGTGTATTCGCACCTAGTTGTGCTTGCGGGGGTTGAGCTCTGGCTCTTGGTCCTGCTTCTCAACAGTCAGTCAACTGATGTACAGATTCGTGTGTGTGTACTATATACTTGCAAGAACATTTAGAACTCATTTTCAGTTTTCTGTCATATAATTATTATTATTGTTTGTAAGCAAGGTTATTACTTATTATTACTGTAAAATAATAAATACTTACACATACTTGTATATGTTTAATTTAATTGTATGTTTTTTTACGCTCCTACACAGGCTCATATTCGGTACTTTACATGCGAAAAGTATGTGGCTGGTGTCACGAACACAGAATTGAGTGAAGGAGTGCGCAATATCTTGCATCGATTGTGTCGCCTCTACCTCATCTATCACATCACCCTGAATCAGGGGGATTTTCTTAGGGTTAGTACTCATATGATTCTTTAATTAAGCCATTCATAGATGGGGGTAATTAAGGAAGTAATACAAAAATAAGTTGTTGTTGAGATAGGTCAAAAGCCTGAAGGTAACACATAGTGCAAGGAGATTGCCATTATTCTATTGAGTATATTGTAATTTCTTTTATTGCAACTACTTCTTATATATCTTTTTGTATTTGTTTGCATATGGGGTCTCATTAAATACAAATATAGTATTTCTTTAATGTTAAGCAAGTGCAAATAGTGAATTTCATTCATTTTGTTTTGTATTTTTTTTTTAGCTGAACTAGTGTTGGAAGTTCTTCTATAGACCATTGATATCATTGACCATTGATATAGACCATTGATACTGGTTGTAAGGGAAAAGGTTTGAATCAATAATTTAGTAATCTCTGGATCTGTACTGAGGCTATCCACTGGTGAAGTGTTTGAGGAAAGGAGGCGGCATGTTTTAAAACATCTGGAAATAGGAAATTATTTCAGTAGTACAGTTTATTGTTGTCAAGTATTAATGTTTGAAATACAGTAGCCAATAGATCTAAGGTGTTAATTTAACTGATTTATTTATAATAATAATAATAATAATAATAATTTTTATTTAGGCAAAGGTACATACATAAAGTACATACATTTATTTACATAAAGATGCTTAATAAGTGTACATTACATATGTACAGTACTCTAATTTGTTTCTTCGTCATCAGAGTGGATCCTTGACAGCCCATAATATTGGTACTTTGGAAGGGGAGATGTGCGATCTGTTGGCTGCCTTACGACCCGATGCTGTGTCACTTGTTGATTCTTTTGATATCCATGACCGCATTCTGGATTCGACTCTTGGATGTTGGGATGGAAATGTGTATCAAAGGTAATAATTAAAACACAATTAAGTTATGTACATTTTTTGCGTCTTGATTTTTTATTTTTAAATTTGTTCATTATTCAAAAACACTATTAGAGTAAGCTTTCATTTGGATACTAGAGAAATTGTTGAAGAAGATGTAATACAAGCTCATTTGATTATACTAGTGTCTTATAAATAATTATTTTTCAGAATGTTTGATGAAGCCCAGAAGAGTCCTCTGAACCAAACTGATGTTCCCGAAGCTTACTACAAGTATTTAAGACCACTCATGAAAGCAAACCTCTAATTCTAAAAAACCTACAATGTGCAATTTTTGTTTGCAGTACTGTAATTATCAAAATTAGTAATACTGTATTGTAAATCCATGATTACTAGATTTCTCTTTATAGTTTGTTAATACTAGATTATTATATTATTGATTAGTTTTATATAGCGGTGATGATATAGTTTATTAGGTTCTTTTTCTTTGTAAATATATATTTTTTATTAATGGTATATAGCATTTATTGAATTTGGGAAGTTGTTCTCTATTCACTGTTTTCTGTTCCATTCCCCGAAGGCAAAACTAGTGAACTAAGCCTCCTGTCTAAACTGTCTATTGTAAATATTCTGAAATTAAAAATATATATGAAATACAACATTGTACATAATAGCATTGTATAAGCATATATATCATTAATACAGTTAATGATGCATATGCAATGCTTCCTCTTGTTTAAATAGTATTTTTGTGTAACTTTGTAGACCGTCATACGTATATTGACGTAATGGACAATTAGATAGAATTTGGTACTATTCACTTTATAGAATCTGGGGAAAAATAAAGCTAAAAACCAAACCTAATTATTCCTAGACCTAGCATAGCATATATATGTACTATATTGGGCCATTGATGTGTGTTAGGCCTAGAATGGTTAGGTTAGGTTTCAGTACCAACAAAAATACAAAACCTTTTTCAGTTTGTCCAAATTCAGTACAGGGTAGTACCAAATTCTACTTTTTTTTTTTTTATTGTCATTACATCAATATGATGTAATGACATTACATCAATATGATGGTCTAGATCATTACTGGAAGTACTATACTATCTAAACAGGAGGATGGGCTGGCATATGAGAAATTGAATTCAACTTGTGTTTATTTCTATTATTTCACTCGATAAAAGGAAATTTAGCGCGACATGGGGTCTTGAGTAAGATGCATTTAATTTTGTATATTATTTTATGGTGCTTGCCTGCATGTTCTGCTTTTCAGTCAGAATAACGGAGTTTATAGTTATATGCTATTGTAGCTTTTACGAATGGTAAAGTTATTGGTATATATACTGCCGATTTATATAATGCAATTTAGATGTACTGTATTCATATTACTGCTTTTTGCAGGTAGTAATGGAAATTGCTATATTGTAAAATATTGAAGAAATAATAATAATAATAATACTCGGGTTTTTTTTTAACATATAAACATTGTGTTGCAAGAGTTATCAGCAGTGAACAGCAGGCTTAGGTGAATATGAAAATAAATGAAACTATTAATGAAGAATAACAGTTATTGCAACATTTCATGCTGTATAAAATAATATACTGTACTGTATAATACAAAAGAAATTATTATTCATTGTGGTAATTGTCTAAGAATAGGGTGAAGTCTTCCATTAAACATGTTTGGCATTACTGTATATATATTGCACAAATATGGTGAACAGTACATGGCCAAGTATGTCTTGGGTATGTGAAACTTTGGTATATTGGGGTTTGGTGTATGTTTCCTTTCCCTAATTAATTGCTATCTTTTCATAGTTTTAATATACTGTACCTGAAAATTCTGAATGTAAAGAGCACTTGCTAATTATACAAGTTTCCCATTGTTGGGACAGAAAGTCTGTTAGGCTTATCAAGGCCCCCCCCCCCTAAAGCCTGTTACTGACCTCCAGGATGAAACTTACAACAGTTCCCCAAGTTATGGTACCTATTTACCACTAGGTAAACGATGGCATCCGGTGAAAGGAAACGTGCCCAAGCATTTCTGTCCTGTTGTGGGAATCAAGCCTGTACTACAGGTAGGTGGCAATGGTACAGCTGCTTTAGGGTGTGATGCGAGGAGGATGGTTGGTTTAAAGGGGCCAATTATGTGTGCTCTTAACTTGTAATTTCTAAGGAGCCTAGAACAACTCCCAGAACCCTTTTCAGGTAAACACCAGGTAAGTTATTAAACTTGTCAAACATTTGTTTTACATTATTTTTATAGAGTAGAATTGAAGAATAGTTTTTTTTTTTTTTTTTTTTTTTTTTTTTTTTTTTTTTTTTTTTTTTTTTTTTTGCAGGGATATTCCTGTGTGGGCCCTAAGCCTCTGGCTGGCCCACTAAGTGTTACTTGTTTCCGTTTTATTTGGGCGGAGTATGAGTATTTATGACTCGTTCATATGTGCATGTATGTTTAAAATAAAGATTATTTAAACTTGAGATGTTTTTGTACCCCTAGTCATAAATTCATGGAACTGCCTACCCACCGTAACCGTAAATATGAAAATGCTGCTGAACTTGAAAATACAGTTCAACACAATCATCAGGACTAATGGCACTCAAGTTAATTCAGGTTAGGTCTCTTGCTTTTTTATTTCTTTTGTAATCTCCAATACTGTGAGCTCTTTTTTTATCCATGAGTTCAGGCCAAATGGCAAGAGGTACTTTGAGGTGTATAACTACTTCATACATTCACGAATATTGGAAGAAATTCATGTTCTGTACCCAGATTTTGCTTGTATAGGCTAATATAGGTATTTCATGTTCTTTCTTGCTTGTAGATCTGAGGCAAAGTGAAATTGACACCAGTAATTCCATCTATCATCATACTGTCATGCAAGAGGAGCCACACATCTATGGTTCATCCAATAAAATCAGCAGACTTCTAGATGTTACAACTGCTCGGCTTAGACTCGGTTACAAGTATCTCTGGGAATTCTCATTATCTGCTGATGTAGACCTGACCAAATGTAAACTGTCAACAAAATTATTCGCACACCCTCAGTCACTATGTGATGGAGTGCGAAAAGATAACGTGAATTCAGAGACAATTCTATAACCAATGTTTCAGCGATGTCTCAATATTTAATTCAAAATGATCTGCTACCAGAAATTTTAGTCAAATATTCCCAGTTTGCTAACTATAAGTAGTAACTAAGTGATTGTAACCTATCCATCGCTGCCCACTGGATGGGGGGCGGTGTGCAGGACAAACATCAATTATGACCCTAGCTCTCCACATATGTCAGTTGTTTAATTTAGGAACTAGTGGTCAGTCTCGAACCCATTGATCATGTGACAACGTGTACTGAATTTTGTAACTAGCTCATCAAGATTGTAACTTGCTTAGCTAAATGAATTGTGGGGTTCAGTCCCTGAGCCCATTATGTGCCTCTGTAACCCTTTCCACTACCGCCCACAGGATGGGAATGGGGTGCATAATAAATGAACTAAACTAACTAAACTCTCTCGATTGCACGTATGACTAATCATCCTGTGAGATGCGGATATTAGATTAACTTATAGCTATTTTTTTTATCTACACTGATAAAATCATTTGAATAAATGGGAGAAATCATTTGAATAAAAAAAAGTCATTTCCCAACAATAATTCATTTACTACACTAAAGCTGAAGGAAACTGATTCATTATTATTTACAAATTTCTAAATATACTTTATATTGACATAGCTCAATACAAGCTGTATTGAACGAGTAAATAACGTACAACATTTGTTTAAGAAATGCAAGAGGCAACAACAACAACAGAGGGGCGGCAGACACCAGCACGGGCACCTATACTGCGGTTTTGGGCGGGAAGGTCGGCCATCTTGGCGCGCGGATTGAACGCTCCTGGCTGGACTTTCTTTCCACACCTTACCTGGAACTCATCTTTAATTCAGCTGGCTTCTTTGGGCCAGTGTGTGCTCACTGCAGCTACCCAGGGGCTCACAGGACCGGGGGAGGCCGGAGCCTCCCAAATGGACGCCTCCCCGAGCGGGGGCGCCATGGATGTTGACAGCAAGTCCCAGAGAGGAAAACGTCTGCTAGAAGATGAGTCGGCTGATGCTGCCCCAGAGCGAGATGCTAAGAGGATATCCTCCCCTTCAGAAGACCTTAGTCTTGTGGTACCCCGTTCCTCGTTTGTGGTAGTCCTAATCCAGTCAGAATCAGGTCAGTGCGTCTTTGCAAATCCTCGTACCTTAGGTGCAGCAATCGAGGCTTCCGTATTGTGGCCACATTGCCTGCCTGAGACCATACGTACCCTGGGTAGGGGTGCAGCACTCAAGCTACATATCAGAAAGGAGGCTCTATCACACATCTGTGTATCCGACATTAATAAGTTGGGGGACTGGCCTGTCAGGTGCCGACAGGTATTGTCGCAGGAGGAGGAGTCTCGGGCCCGGTATGGGAAGATTGGCCCAATTGACCAGAGTGTAGATGTGGATGACATCCAGGCCGCTCTGCAGGTATTAGGGGGTGCATCAGTGAGATTATTGGAAGTTACCAGGATTCGCGGAGCAGCAGGGCCGACATCCATGGTCCGTGTAAAGTTCGATGGGCACCTCCCTGACCGAGTGGCACTACACAGGACCTCGTATCAGGTTCAGCCCTACAATTTCCCTGTTTTACGATGTTACGCTTGTCATCTATTGGGCCACAGTCGCCTGACCTGCCGTAATACAGCACGGTGTGCAAACTGCGGCAAAACTGGCCATTCAGACAGAGATGACGGTGGGTGCTCTGCTGCACCCCGCTGCTTTTTATGCCATGGCCATCATAAGGTTACGTCTAAGAGTTGCCCTGTATATCTTGAGGCCCTCCAGTTGGACATCGATCACAAAACAGCGGGGACACCTCGACATGAGCTGTTCCAGAAGTTGCGTACCCTCAATCAGCCTATCGCTTCTTCTCGCCTCCAGGTTCCCCCTGGTCGGGCCTCTTCACAAGTAGGAACTAGCAGACGCTCTTGCCTGTCCCAGTCACATGCCACATACGCCCAGGTTGCTAATCGATTTTCCCTCCTGGGTAGCCTTGACACTGACGGAAACTCATCCACGGATACAGACATGGACGCTCAGTCTCGGCCGGAGCCTAGCACTCGTCACCCTCCTGCCTTTCCTCAAAGAAGCCAACACCGGCGTCGTCGACACACCCATCGATCAGGAGGTACTGCTCCAACAGACAGCCCTGATGATCCTCTGGTCCCCCAGGCACTTTCCGAAGGGATTGTGACACCGGGGGAACATGAGGCCCAGAGTGAGGCTCCCACCAGTCGCAGACGCCGTCAAGAGAGTTCGCGAGCCGACCACCGCTTCCGTCAGGCAGAGAGAAACATAGATCAACATCCTCTTGACTGGAAGTCATTGATACCACATATTTTACTTACTTTGTATGAAGGTTTTATGGCTTTTTCTAGTGGTTCCCCCTTTGGAGACGTCTGTGCACTGGTGGTCAAAAAGTTAGCTGTTGTATTTCAGGGATAATGGCGCCCCATCCTGAGAATACTGTGGTGTTTTGGAATGCCCGCTCCCTTTTTAAGAAGACGCAATTTTTACGCAATTTTATCGCCAGCGCACCACCGTTGATCGTGGGACTCTGTGAGACTTGGCTTACAGACGATCTTTCCTTCACAGTGCCGGGGTATTCTGTCTATAGACAAGATCGGCCAGTACGGGGTGGAGGGGGACTTGCCCTCTTGGTCAGGGACTCAGTTCCCAGCTCCTTGCTCCGGATTCACTCCTTCCCGGGTGGACATTTAGAATTCTTGGCAGTGAAGGTCGCCCTCTCCCATGGGTGGGGCACCTTTGGAGTTCTGTATAACCCCTGTCTACCGGTAACGAAGAAGGAACTAGAACACTATTTTGGTCAGATCACAGACACCTGCCTCGTCATGGGTGACTTTAACGCTCGGCACTCATCATGGCAACCCATGCTATCGGGTCGCCACCACAACATGGCTGGCCGAGCCCTATTTCAGTTTCTCCTTGACTCCCCAGACCTCTCCTTACTGACGCCGCCAGGTTTGGGAACTCGGATAGACCCGCTAAATGGCCATACTTCAACACTCGATCTTTGCATTGGAAGAGGCCCCTTCACGATGGCGCAGATATGGACCGGGCCGTACCTGGGTAGTGATCACCTGCCCATCGTCATCTCCTTCGGGGGCACTGTTCGTCCTGCTCTGACCTCCCGTAGATCCAAATGGATCTTCTCGGAAGAGGGGTGGCATGGCTATGAGGCGGATGACTGGTTGACCCTTCCCCCAGTTACTGCAGATCTCCATGGGTCAGCAGATGCTCTCTCCGAGTCCCTCTTCAGTGTAGGCTCTCGGCATTTCAGGAGGACTAGTGGCCAGACAACCAATCCTTCCCGCCGTGGGGCACCGTGGTGGACTCCTGAATGTCGGCAGGCAGTACTGGACCGGCGACGTGCGTGGAATTCGTGGCGGCGCCACCCTACTCCACTGCAGCGGCAGACCTTCCGCAGGGCGGACGCCAGGTGTAGACAAACAGTCCTCCTTGCCAAACGCAAGGCCTGGGCTAATTACTGTGCCTCTCTCCGATTCGACTCCTCCTCTGCGGGAGCCTGGGCCTTTGTTCGTAAGATGACAGGTAGGTACTCCCGGCCTACCATCCCACTCAGAGACCCCAGTGGTAATGGGGGCCTAGGGGAAGTACAAATAGCCGAACTCTTGGCTGACCACTTTGAAGATGTTTACCGTTCCCCGCTCCTCTCTGTGAGTTCCATAGGTTGGGGCTCCCGACAGGGTATAGGACTAGCTCAGGACCTGGATCGCCCATTTACATCTGTTGAGCTGAAGGACGCTCTGTCACTCTCTAAGTCGGGCACTATGCCAGGGATAGACAACGTCCCATATGAATTTGTTCGGAGGGCACCCAAGAGCTTTCAGTCCCACCTCCTTTACTTCTACAACGCCTGCTGGTCCTCTGGTGTCTTCCCTGCCCCTTGGAAACACGCCATTCTTCTACCATTGGCCAAGTCAGGGAAGGATCCGTCTGTCCCGACTTCATATCGGCCCATAAGTTTGCTTCCATGTCTCGGGAAACTGATGGAACGTCTTGTTCACACCCGGCTACAATGGGTGGTGGAAACCTCAGGTCTCCTACCTGAGGGTATCAGTGGATTTCGGCCGGGAAGAAGCACGATGGACTGCCTCCTCTCCTTGGAACATCGAATAATGGACACTTATCGACGGAGAAGAGTGCTCCTTGCAGCATTCTTCGATATCAAGAGTGCATTTGACTCTGCTTCTCATTCTGCTGTCCTTCAGAGTCTGGCTCGACTAGGTCTCTCGGGTCCGGCGTTAAGGTGGTTCCAAAACTATCTACAGGGCCGCTCATTCAAAGTGGCGGTTGGTGGAGTCGTCTCTACGTCCCGCCCTGTCTCGCGTGGTGTCCCTCAGGGAGCGATT